CAGACGGCTCAATGGTGAAAAGCAATGGCTGCTCTCACAGAGGACCCAGGTTCGGCTCCCAACACCCACGTGGTACCTAAGAACTATTTTCTGTGTGTGCTGTATACATGTGTTATGCTTACATACATGCAGTCATACACACATACATATAAAAGTAAATAAATAAAAATAAAATAAAATAAATGTGGCAAAGTGCTCAACTATTATTGTGCTTCATACATAATTAAAAGGCAAGAATAGCACTAATTTTTTAAAATGTCTTATTTACTGCTCAGGAAAAAGAAAACTGAGACCTTTCTGTTCTTAGCACACATTTCATCAAACCTGTCAGAGAGCAGAGTGAAAACTTCCAAACCGCCCAAATAAAACACCTGCTGTTCCCTGTTTTGAGGAGTGCTCTTCCTCAGACAGGGCATACCGCTTCACTCCCTTCAAGCTCCACGTAAACATCATCTTAGCTGAAGACCCGTTCTGACTTCTCAACACCAAATGGCAACCTCCTACACAGTTACTTTATTTGCTTCCAGTTTTCACTAATTTATCCACTGCATCTCCAGATTCTGATCTTTAAAACTGCGGTCACTACAGCCCCTACTCCACAGCACTGTTTTAACCTTAAGTGAAAGAGCAGCTTTGATGGGCTCAGACGCTGTCCTAGTTAGCTGCACTGCTGTGACAAAACACTCTGACCAGCACCAGATTGGGAGGGAAAGGGTTCATTTCACCTTATAGCTTAGAGTCCATCATGGAGGGGAGCCACAGTAGCAAGAACCTGAAGACAGAAACTGGAACCTGGACCCTGGAAGACTGCTGCTTATTGGCTTCCTACCCTGTTTTCGGTCTGCTTTCTTTCTGTTTATTTATTTTGTTTTTTGAGACAGGTCTCTCTGAAGCCCCAGCTGGCCTGGAACTAGCTATGTAGACCAGGCTGGCTTTGATCTCACAGAGATGAACCTGCCTCTAACTCCCGAGTGCTAGGACTAAAGGTGTGTGCCACCCCACCTAGCACTCAGCTTGATTAAAAAAAAATAATAATAATTTTATGTGTATGAGTGTAATGTCTGCATGTATGTAAGTGTACCAGTGTCATGCAATGCCTGCGGAGGTCAGAACAGGGAGTTGGATCTCCTGGAACTGGAGTTACAAATGGTTGTTAGCCACCATGTGGGTGCTGGGAATCAAACTCAGGTCTTCTGCAAGAGCAGTCACCACTCTTAACTGCTGAGCCATCTCTCCAGCCCCTCAGCCTGCTTTCTTATACAACCCAGGACTACCTGCTCAGGTGTGGCACTACCCACAGTGGGCTGGGCCCTCCCATCACTCAGCAACTAAGAAAATGCCTGGCAGAGAAGCCCACTGCGAAGTCTCCAACTGAAGTTTCCTCTTCCCAGGTGTGTCAATCTGACAACTATAGCTGTCCAGCACAGATGCATAATGGTCACATAGGAGTCACAGAAATCTCCACATGTCACAATGGCAACCTGAAGGCAGGGCCTGCCACTCACTTCTGCATTCTGAAAGCCTGCAAGAGCTATCAGAAAGTGCTTCCAGTTGTTGAAGCCTGGCTGAGGTTATAAGAATAAGGCAAATTATTTTCAGGAAAAGTAAGTTCTCCACATGTTGGTAGGAATCATTTGTAGCAACTCATCTACCTT